TCCAAGATACCTTGAAGACCCTATCTGAGGGGTAAGACTCAATCCACTGGCATGCAGTTCCTGAGATGCCATTTTCCAATAGGGTTAACAGGAGGATCTGGTGGTTCACCGTATCAAAAGCAGCAGACAGATCCAGCAAGATGAGTATTGAAGATTTGGAAGCCACTCTTGCCAGTCTTAGGGCTTCAACAACTGAGAGCAAGGCAGTCTCAGTCGAATGTCCACTTCTGAAGCCAGACTGGTTGCTGTCCAGGAGGTTGTTCTGTGTGAGAAAGGCAGAGACTTGGTTACCATACTCTTTCTGCAGCTCTGAGCTTAGAACGATGCTCACTGAGAACATCAGATAGTCAAGGGGCAGAAGGGGTGGTACGAGCTGGCCTGGAAGCCAAGGGGCAGACACTGCCTAAACAAGACGTAAGAGTGGAGCAGAAAGTATCAGTAGCACTGTTAACATCAAGAGATGATAACTGTTCAGGGGAAGGAAGCGAAGATGAAACCATAGCAAATAGCCGGGATGGTGAGAGTGAACGTAGGTTACGTCGAAAAGTGACATGTGGAGGGGTATGTGTTGTGTCAGGAACCATGTCAGAGGTGTGCAGTGGAGTAACCAGCACATGATCAGTGGAGCAGTATCGTGTGTAAAAAAGGTCCAATTGGTTGCCTGATTTGTGAGTAGCCATAGTAAACACTCGCTTGAGATCAAAAGAGGCAAGCAGAGTGTGGAAGTCTGCAGCCTGAGATTTATCTAGGTGGATGTTGAAGTCTCCAAGTGTGTTTGTGTGTGTGTGTATATATATATATATTAGGGCTGTAACAATACACGTATTAGTATTGAACCGTTCGGTACGAGGCTTTCAGTTCGGTACGCATTACAAACCGAATGATTTGTTGGACTAATCCTATTACAGCATATTATTCTATTAGGTTAGATTAGTGCAAGTGCGCATTTAGAGTGCGTTCTTTCACTGCATGTTTCAGTCTAGTAAAATGCATTTAATGATCACAAAATTTAAAATATGGAGCCAGAAAATGTGTATATTTACATAATTTCATATAGTTAATCAATATCACAGAAGAGTGCCGTTTTTTTCTCTCCAAAAATCAGCATGATTACAAATGATTTTACAACAGTTCAATAAACAAGAAGTTAATTAATAGTCTTACGTTTTAGACAGCACATTGCCTGTTTTTGCTCAATTTCGACAACAAAAATAAATCCAAACACAGCCACAGCACTGTTCTGCATCTCTGAGCAACATGACAGTGTTTTGTTCCGGAATGAATCAACTGTTAAATGATTCGGTTCAATCGCAATGACTCACTTGTTAACAGTGACTTACTGCCACCTACTGGTGGTTTTAATTTCACATTTAAAGTAACTTTTTTCTAATTATTATTATTTTCTAGTAACTAATTTCAAACATCAGTTGTCAATGTTTTATGTTTAAAATATCAAAACATTATTTATGCATTTGTAACTGCAGGTTAAAACATTGCATGTCCCTCTGAGCTGCATTAAACTGTGTAAAAGCAAAAGAAAATGCCATTCAGATGCAACTTCTGTGTTTCCTCTGCATTGCAAAGATTAATTTTTTGTCAATACTGACTTCATTTGCTTGGTAACAGCCCAAATGTCTTGTCTTATTAAATGTAAAAAAAAAAAAAAAAAACTCAAAAGGTGATGCACACTTTTAGAAAAAAAAAAAAAAAAATTTTATAAAGGTAAAAAATGCCCATAAAAGGTAAAAATCAATTTAAACTTATTGGAAAAGATTAATCTGCTACATGACAATAGGCTACTGTACATCAGCTGGAATACTTCAAACCGGAGCTATTTCTGTTTGCGAAGAAGACACCCCAGAAGATGGGTCAATTATCCATCATTGTTCAAAGTAACAATGGTTGTTTCAACCCAACTTTAGGTCAAATATGGACTAACCCAACTTTTTGGTTAAAAATTAAATAAAAAACTTTAACCCAACAGCTGGGTTAGTCCATATTTGACCCAATGTTGGGTTGAAACAGCCCAGCATTTTTTAGAGTGATAAATAAAAATATTGTAAAAATCAAGGAAATTTCTCTGGCATTTCTTTCTTTTTGCTGTATCGAAAACGTACCGAACCGTGAATTTTGCAAACCATTACATGTGTGTGTCTCTATATATATATAGACTCGCTATATTAGGCTACCTTAATTAATATGACATGGCGTGAACGCAGCATTCAGCTCATCCAACCCCAGTCAAACACACCTGAACAAGCTAATCAAGGCCTTCCAGTCAGATTACTAGAAAGCTACAGACAGGTGAGTTTGATCAGGGTTGGAGTTGACCTGATCTCCTTGGATCTTTAAAACCCCATTATACAGAGGTTGATATTGCAGCAACACATTTATTCATTTTAGCTTTGTGTGCTTCGCTGTCTGCTGTTCCTGACGCACCAATTCAGCGCATTTTCCAGCAGAGATCGTTGTGAGATCGCAGGTCGGGAGGATGAGAGCTCGAGTGGTTTTCTCGTTGATTGCTGTTTTATCGTGTCTGTTCGGATACTTGAGCATAACAGACGCTACTCGAACCACAGGCACGGGTGTCTGTTGACTTCATTACACAGCCTGAAGACATGCAGAAATGAGTGACTCAGTCTTTGAAAGTAATTAACACCGTTTAGGAATGAGTAGTAGGTTAAAACCCTTTTGATTTGAAGCAGATAACTATGTAAAGTTTGTATCAAGGTTTGAGACTCATTGCAAAACCCCTGATTTACAAATGCTGAAACCACGCTCCCTGGCCTCCCCCTATGGTCGCCGTGATTTTGCCAAGTAATACATGTTCCTGGATCAACATTTCTGACCAAAAATATCGCCCTAACCCTACCCATAATTTATTCCTAAAATCAGAGGGAAATGATGGGTGAATAACAAGGGTGTAGAAGCATCTATCCCTGATTGTAAGCCTAAAACTGACATTTCTTAAATGTATCCCTCGATTCTGGTTGAATGGAATGTTGTTCCAGGATCAACAAGGATGTTGATCCAGGAACATGTTGTACTTGGTGAAATCACGTTCACCCCTCCCCTATCCTCTTGAATACTCTAGTGCAGTGGTTCTCAAACCTGTCCTGGAGTACCCCCAGCACTGCACATTTTGTATGTCTCCCTCATCTATCACACCTGATTCAACTCATCAGCTCATTAGTGGAGACTGCAAGACCTGAAGTGGGTGTGTCAGATAGAGGGAGACCTACAAAACTTGCAGTGCTGGGTACAAAACGTGCAGTGCTGGGGGTACTTCATGGAGAGGTTTGAGAACCCCTGCTCTAGTGGACGGTTACTGTCTGGCGACGCTGACGGTTTGAGGGTGTTCTTCTGATCGAGACCGCTCTAGAGGACACAAATGCTGTTGATTTGACCTTGGGCCTGTTTGCGTTCTGCCGGTTTCCAGTGCGTTTCGGTTAATGGATGCTAGGGGTCCTCTCAAAAAAAAAAAAGTAACGCATTGAATTCAATAAGTTTTAAGCAGAACAATGTTACGTAAAACTTCCTTTTAAGTGAATGGAAATGTTCAGCATTCAGTGGTTTCTGTCATGTGTCTGTGTAACAGCAAAGCCAGGACGGTGTCCACCCCAATCATCTGGAAGAAGATTATGTACTAGTTCCTGTAAGAGTGACTCTGACTGTCCCGACAATGAGAAGTGCTGCAGCACTGGATGTGGACGTTTCTGTATGGCTCCATATACAGGTTTGTTAAATTGTTTTGGTCTTTTATTAATAATAATAATAATAATAATAATAATAATAATAATAATAATAATAATATAAATTTTGCCTTTTGTTGTTCCTGTCTGAAGTAGATTTGAATTCATCCCTTAGGATGGTTTTAAACGCAGTGACTTTACAAAATAAAGAGGAAAAATACTTGGAATATATTTCAGAAGTGGCATACTGTCTAGCTGCACAAATTAAAGCTGACTATCTGTGTCCACACAGTGAAGCCGGGTCAATGTCCCAAACCGAAGAACATTCCAATGTTTGCTGAAAGCTGTTTCCATGATGACCAGTGTCCTGCCACACAGAAATGTTGCCCAACCACCAGTGGTCATGCATGCAGTGAACCACGTGGTCAGGGAAGCGGTCAAGAAAATGGTCAGGGAAGCGGTCAAGGATTTGGCCAGGGGAGCGGATTTGGCCAGGGGAGCGGGAACTGTCATGGAAGCGGATTTGGCCAGGGGAGTGGATTTGGCCAGGGGAGTGGATTTGGCCAGGGGAGCGGATTTGGCCAGGGGAGCGGATTTGGCCAGGGGAGCGGTCAAGGTCATGGAAGCGGATTTGGCCAGGGGAGCGGTCAAGGTCAGGGAAGTGGCCAGGGAAGCGGTCAAGGGACTGGTCAGGGAAGCGGTCAAGGTCAGGCAAGTGGCCAGGGGAGCGGATTTGGCCAGGGGAGCGGTCATGGTCAGGGGAGCGGTCATGGTCAGGGATTTGGCCAGGGGAGCGGTCAAGGTCATGGGAGCGGATTTGGCCAGGGGAGCGGTCAAGGCCAGGGGAGCGGATTTGGCCAGGGGAGCGGATTTGGCCAGGGGAGCGGATTTGGCCAGGGGAGCGGTCAAGGTCATGGAAGCGGATTTGGCCAGGGGAGCGGTCAAGGCCAGGGGAGCGGATTTGGCCAGGGGAGCGGATTTTTTGGTCAGGGAAGTGGTCATGGTCAGGGAAACGGCCAGGGCAGGGGTTTTGGTCAAGGGACTGGTCAGGGAAGTGGCCAGGGAAGCGGTTTTGGTCAGGGAAGCGGTGAAGGCACTGGTCAGGGAAGTGGTCAAGGTCAGGGAAGCGGTCAAGGGACTGGTCAGGGAAGTGGCCAGGGAAGCGGTTTTGGTCAGGGAAGCGGTGAAGGCACTGGTCAGGGAAGTGGTCAAGGTCAGGGAAGCGGTCAAGGGACTGGTCAGGGAAGTGGCCAGGGAAGCGGTTTTGG